CATTGCTCTCTTAATGCGAAACATCCTGTCATTATAAACGTTCTCTGGAAGCCTTCTTATGGCTTCTTTTACATCTTCATTTTCATATATTGTATCATCTCGCATTAAGCCTATTAACGGAAAATAAAAGTTATATTAAACATGTGTCTCAAAAACCAGGGGTTAAACAAAAGAGTAAAATATCTTTCTGAGTTACAACTTACGATCTGAGTGAAATAACCAGAGTTCAAATCATTAAGTATGATGGAAATTTAAAGGTCCCTCACACACACACAATGAGTTATTTCTTGAAATATATGAGTCTCTTCAAATACACCACAAAAGACTTATTTCATCTAAACCAATTTAGAAAATATTTAAGATGTTTACCTCGTCCTTAAATACACACCAATAAACCACGTCTCTACTTTCTTATACTTTAAATCTGAGATCAAGACACTAAAGAATCTAAAAATCACACTGTACTAAGGAATCACTAACATTAATGATGCTTCTACTAAAGTTCAGTAACAAAAGATGAAGCTCAGGGCAAATTATAAAGTACCAGAAAAGCTCATAAATCATATCATTGTAAACATCTGAGACAATTTCAATATTTGAAAAAAGTCTCCCACATTCAAAGTTTGTATAATCTAAATTTTTAAATTTTAAGAGCTGAGAGAATGGGGGCTGGGGATTTAGCTTAGTGGCACAGTGCCTGCCTGGCAAGCACAAAGTCGTGAGTTCAATTCCCAGTACTGGAAGATAAAACAAAGACAAAAAAAAGAGCTGAGAGAATGAAAATATAAAAAGGAAATTATCTAGCTGCCATAAATCATTTCCACCTCAAACATTTTAAAGGACTTTTATCCCTCTCCTCTCAAAAAAGGCAAAAACAAAACAAAACAACAATCTCCCCCACACACCAAAGACAGAAGTATAGATACTTACCCAGCTTATTGAATCCTGCAGCATTGTAGTACCACTTTCGAATACCTTCGAGCCACCGCCCTGATGCTGCAGCTGATAATTATCACACTGTTAGTTATTATAGTTCACTTATTGGTATGAGCAAGCAAACAACCTGTACTCTTTTTTACAAACAGAAGGAATTTCCTTTTAAAACCTTATATACTATATGCTGTAGAGTTGCTTATTTTAGCTATGAGCAAAAGAGAATGCAGGTAAAAAGTTATTGACAAATCACAAGAGGAAAAGGTGAACTCAAACACCTGATAGACAAAACAGTCCTAGGTACAATCACAGCCACTTCAGCTTCTCAAGAGTCCAATATCCCAAATCCATATGCCCCCTCATGCACATCAGAATGGAGGGGTGGGTGACAGGAAGGGGACTTGGAACATTTTTACCATCTGTAGTTGCAAAAACAAAATATTTAGCTATTCATGGATAACAAAATTTTTTCATTTTTTTTGTTTTGTTTTGTTTTTTTTCCAGTACAGGAAATCGAACTCACGACCTTGCGCTTGCCAGACAGGCGCTGTGCTGCTGAGCTAAATCCCCAGCCCCTAAAATTTTTTCTTTTCAAAGGCAGTTGAATTGTATGAAAATACAAGTGAGATTTCAGGAGACTCTAGCAGGTTTACAGACTCATCATCCAAACGTTTCAGTCTACATTACCATTATTTTTCTTGGCCAACCTCTTCTTAAAAAAATGCATTTCTGGAAGGATTTTTAGACCATCAGTCATTGAAATATTAATATGGATTAGTAAATGAGGCTCATTTTCCTCCTCCCAACTAAATAATTTTCCGTCAAGGAAATGAATACTGGAACATGGATGAGGAGAAAAAAAATGTTAAAACTCTTTGGAGAACAAGGTTGAGCCTGATGTAGTAACCCACTAGGGCAGTGATGGTGAGCCTTTTAGAGATCGAGTGCCCAAACTGCAACCCAAAACCCATTTATTTATTGCAAAGTGCCAGCAGTGCAATTAAACCTGAAGAGCCATCTGACTGATGTTCAGCTGTTTGGTTTGTGTGCTGACAGAGAGGGCAGTCTGTGTGGCCACTGTGGCACATGCGCCATAGGTTCACCACCAGCGCACTAGGGTCTAAGAGATACAGGACAGCGCCTGACCTTTACAGGAGAGATGTGACACAGACAGGAGGGCAAAGTGAGTTAGAATTTTCACCTAGGTCTAGCCTCTTACCAAGAAAAGAAAAAAAAACTCCTTTCACTTCAACTCCTGCCTTCTACTCCTTAGCATATTACAGATTACATGGCTTTGGTAGATATCCTTAAAAATTATGAGCCATACATAAAATTGCTTCTAGAAAAAAGAGAACGTATCGAGAGTTAACAAGCTAAAAATGTGCTTGTTCACCTTGAGTTCAGGGCCAGTATGGGCTATGTAGTGAGTCTAAAACCAGCCTGAACTATGTGGTGAGACACTGTTTCAAAAAAACCAAAGGAACACACAAACAAAAAGAAAACACACCTTGTAGAAGCTGAAGACAAATTATTTGCAAATATTTACCAGTGACTTTGATAATGATTAATATTCACGGAACACTATTGCGTGCCAGGCGTTCTGTTTGTCTTACCCACGTTAGCTTGTTCTAGGATATTCCTGTTGTTGCTGCAAAGGAATCCGCCTTACACAAGTGATACTAGCCAAGTCAGAGCTTGTTAGTAAAAGGCGGTCTATGTGTTTCCCCAACAGCATAGACACATGACGCCTTGAATTTAATAAAGCTCCTTAAATATTTATCGAACTAATGAAATAACTCATATATTTTCTCTACCCCCCAAAAGCTCAATGTCGATTAGCTAAACGGATTTACCTGGCAATCTGTTTCTTAATGGTTTCACAATTACTGTGGACTGGGGCGGGGGAAGGGCACCAGTACTTCAGAGAGCAGAGATTTGTGAAAACGCAGAGCACTACAGTTATCCGGGATGCACGTTATTTTACATGCCCCAGCAATTTCTGCATTCTCGCTCATGACAAAGGCGTTTGTTCTTATGCCTACGATACGAGCAAGCTTCTCCAAACACGGATCAAGCTCACGTTCCAGAAAAACCAAAGCTGACCCGAAGCCTCGCTATGGACCTTGCGCGGCTGCCTCTACCCCCGCCAGAAGCGCGAGGCACGGGATGAGGGCCTCGACCCTGTCTCCCTACCCCCCGGCCCGTCGTAAGGGCACACAGGGCACCGGTTGGCGCAGTAACCGAGCCCACGCACAGGACGCTGCACGGCTCCCTGGAGGCACTCACTTCGCTTTGGATGAACTTCTGCCACCCTCTCATTCTGTCCTGTGGCCTTGAACTTTACAAAGCTGAGGGGAGAGACTCAGGGCACCCGCAGCGGCGCTCAGGGCTGTGAGAGCCGCCGCGGGGACCTTCATCATTGACGTCCTCGCCCGACCCGCGCCCGCAAGCCCGGCCTGGGAAAGGCGGGACACGTCCTTTTAGCCGGACAGGAGCCGCCACTTTCCCTTCCGCTGTGAATGAGAGAGCAAAAGAGGTGCAGAGTACTGCGAAATATAAAGGCCGAGCGCCACGACGCCCACCCAGACAAGACCCACACTCACCAGCAGGGCGGCCCGCCATTTTGACCCCAGAGCGAAGTGATGCCTTCTGGGTAAGTCCTAGAGGACGCCGGGACCAGGGGCGGCAGCGTACGCCGCGTCGCGCAGCAAGCTGGGACGCCGCGCAGGCGCAGTTAGGCACCTGCTGTGTTGCTCCACCAGGGAGAGTGATCCGGGTAGGCTGTTTTTGCGCGATTGTTTAAAGACGGTTTCCTTGTGAGTGGGGAACAACACTAGGAAAGGCAATAGAAAACAGGGGCTTTAGTCTGGGTTACTGGAGTTTGGACTGTATTAATTAAGCCTTTGGAGCCCGGCTACATGCTAAACGTTTTTCACGAGGCGGGAAAGGAAGAGCATTGGTTCCAGGGGCCCCAGGGGACTTTCTTAGACGCTCAAGTTCCTTGTGTAAAACGTGTGGTGTTTGCGTATTATCTACACGGTGTCCTCTTGTATTAAAATCTTCTCCAGATTACACTCACACAGTGTAAATGCTATGCACATAGCTATACTGTATTATTTAAAGCATAATGACCAGTGTGTATACCTGTTTGATATAGGGCCGAGCACCCAAATATTTTCTGCCCTGTGGTGTGGTGAATCCACAGACGTGGAATTCTCAGCTATGGACAGCGAATGCGTTTTCATTTAACTCTAATCTTATGGTGTAAGTTCTATGATTATCTCCATTATGGAGGAGTAAGCTGAGTCTTCGAAAAGTTTAACTATCCAGATGTAATGGCGCATGCCTGTAACCCAGCGCTGTTGGAGGCTGAGGCAGAAGGAGTGGAAGTTTCAGCCCAGCCCGGCCTGGGAAATTTGGCCTTGTCTCAAAAATTTTGAAAAGGTTGGGTATGGAGCTCAGTGGAAAGGCCATGGGCTCAATCCCCAGTAGCCGTCACCCGCCAAAGTTGAATACCATGTCCAAGGACACACAGCTGGGAAGAATCCAGATTCCAGAATCTAAAGTGTAAATTCAGACCCCTTTAATTCAAGTTTACTTTCTAAACTGCTAATTCAAGAAAGATACTAAATCTGTTCTTCAGTTTCTCCAGCTGAGAATTACCTCAAGCCATTTTGGTAAAGTCAGAAAAGTTTTAAAAAATACATCTAAGATATATTACAGAACTTGTATATACAGTAATTTTAAGAGGAAGTGTATAATTTGTCCATTTTATTTATTTATTGAAACAGGGTCTCCTGTATGTAGTTTAGGCTGGCCTTGAACTAATAACCTGGGCTGGCCTCAAACTCGTGATGAGTCTCCTGCTTTAGCCTCCTAGAGCGCTGGAATTACTGGTGTGCGCCACCACACCCAGCGGTTTGTCCACTTTCCAGGTCTCAGCTGCAACATGTGCACACTAATGCACACAATGCACACTAATCTAGGGCCAGAAAAATATTCAGGAAATTAGCGTGACTAATAGTTACTAGTGCATTCTACTACCCAACAAGATCTACCACTTTTTGTTGGTTTTCTAGTCTTAAAATGAGATCTGGGACAGTATAGAACCCTTTCTCCTTGTGAATTCAAAATGCTAATGTTGTCATATACCAGTTCTAAAATTCTATTGCCTTCTTCCTTTTCTGTCTCTGCTACCAGTTTCTCATTGACTTGGTCCTGTAGGCAGCTCTAAACATTGATAAATGGCTGTTTTCAGCCTGTATTACCAATGTGAACTCTGAAAGATACAAAGAAATGCAATACATTTGTACATTGGTACATTGCCTGACAAGCAGAGGTATTCCCCTTACCCTTTAGTGCTGGTTAAAGTGTAGGTGGCAAGAGAAGGAAAATCTTACATCAAGTATGAGATACCTAGGACTGTCACAAAATGGCGGCTCCTACAGGGATTAAGCCTAGAGCCCAGATGTCAGTATGGGAAGACGTTTTAGGTGTGCAAATGCTATGTGTGGTTCACCAACCACTACTAGTGTTAGTAGTCTGCCCAACAGGTAATCCTAAAGCAAGTATGTAGCCACAGAGCCTCATTTAATAAAAGAAATGAAGGCTCAGAAAGGAACTCATCAGCCCAGGAGGGGTATCAACTCACAGCATCAATCTGTGTGCTGGCAGTCAGTCAGTCACAGTTTACTATGGCTGCAAGTACACCTCATTGCATTCCTCTTATCTTCAAATGTTCCTATTTCTTTCCCTTCCCTGATTTTTAGGAGCCAGCTGAGGGCAATCTTGAATATCTGTCCTCAGGAAGCTAACACTGTACATAATTCCGAGTGGAATGTGTTTTTAGCACTTTTGGAGTATCGGCTATTAGACATTTCAAAGGGAAGAAAGCCATCTTCGGATAAAACCACTTAAAAAGATGTGTGGATTCAAAACCAGAAAAATTTCCATTACTCCCAGCTTCACCAGAATGCCAAAGTTCCAGCCCATAGGAAACTCCATCCCCTTCTCTAAGTTTGCTATATTTCAGTTTTCTCCTTCCTTAGAAGGACATGGTTGAGTCAAACAAAAATTAAGTCACTAGAAACCTTTAAGAAATATCTACCAGAGTATGTACACAAATATACAGAATGAGGAAATTCTTTCTTATATCAACTGAGAGCTGAGGCATCTATTTAAAAATATATTCATTTATTCACACATATTCATTTTATATTACTTTTAATATTCATCAACAACTAAAGAGTTTTTAAGAATTTTTCAAAGTCCTGTACTGAAGCATTGGCAATCTCTT